ATATAACACTCAGTGCTCATCCTTGTCCTTTCAATTTCTAATAATTGTGTCACTATTTTAGTTCTATCATTACCTTCATAATTTTACATATACTTAAATATTTTTTTCTATTGAGCCAAGTATAGACATTTTATCTTGATTCCCTGATAGAAAACCGATTCTCTAACATTCTTATTAAATAAAACTATAAGTTATTTAATGTATAGAATCTTGATAAATGCTAACTAATTTAGTAATCAATTATATCCTAATTTTATTTTTAAGCAAAATTTTATTGTATGCCTATTGTTTTGAAACCTCCATAACAAAGTATATAGAACTGTTTTTTTCTACCAGAGTCCACTAGTGATAATAACTAAGATTAAAATAAGATTTCTTTTGGTTTTAATTTCAGACTTTTATTTAAGAAGATAAAATATAAAATAACAGTTTATCTCTCTGTTCTCTAAATTCAGAAATAGGAAATTAGAGGGAGAATGAAAATATTTTTTACATCCAATTATATAATAGCATTTAAGAGGAAAGGGGAGAGTGGGAAATGGTGCTGGACATGTATACAAGGGGAAAATAAACAACACCAAAAAAGGAAGGAAGGGGCACAAATTGACTTGTGTCTTCCTAAAGGATAGAATGATATAAGTATAAGAAGTCCAAGAGAGGAAAATGGCCACACAGACTTAAACAAAGATAAATATATAACAACATGTAAAGATTTCATGGTAACTCTTTAAAGTTCATTTTTGTATGTCCTTGGGAAAGCAAATAATTCCCCACATTTAATACATTGTGTATATAAAAAGTAGGTACAATTATATTAGTGATTTAGGGAACTATAAAAAGAAAAAGTAAAGTTGTCACTCTCAAAAAACCTTGAAATTTAAGACCTGTGACAAAATAAATGATTTAAAAGCAGCTAGAAAATACATATCTGAAAGTATATATGGAAAGCATAGAAATTAATACAGTCAAGAGACAAAACACTTTTAACGATGACTTTTTCACATTTGCCCTGAAGTCTTATGTATTCAGTTTAGTAAGAAGATATATTTTAAAGCTATAATATTTGCATGGTTTTCTTTTTATGAGAGAGGGAAAATAAAAACTCAACCCTCAATAATCACGCATATATTATATAATAAAGGATTTTCCATGTGATTCCAATGAGAATTCACACAAAACCCAGTAAAACTAATACTTTCTACTAGATCTTAATACAGTTAAACTATTTGTACTTTTTCTGTGATTTAGTCACCACAACCCTCAAGAATAATACATACTTTATCAGTTAGAGCCAACAACTTTCTGTAGATCCTCAAGTCAAGAGATAATTTTTTTAACTTATTTTTGAGAGAGCATGAGGGATTAGGGCAGAAAGAGAGAGGGAGACACAGTTTCCAAAACAGTCTCCAGGCTCTGAACTATCAGCACAGAGCCTGACACAGGGCTCTGAATCCATGAACAGTGAAATCGTGACCTGAGATGAAGTCTGGCGCTCAACCAACTGAGCCACCTAGGTGCCCCAAGAGAAATTTCTTATATGTTGGAAGTAAGCTTGAAACAGGTCTCAGAAATTGTAGCAATGAAATGAAGAAATTTTGTATTTCTTTCTTCTACATACATTCCTAATTCTCAAGACGTATTTCTCATTTTGCCTACAGTTTCAAAGCATACAATATATTGCAGTAAATGAGCAAGTTAGGCAATTTGAGAAATAAACTCTTTTACAGTGCTTGGAGTGCATTTTAGTGTACCCCTGTAGTATTTGTTATCGGATCAGTATTTGTTAATGATTTCAATGATGTACCCAATGATACTCTAAGCTTGAGTCCACACAGTACAATAAAGGGTGAATTAGCCCTTGTCAATAAATCCCAGAAGACTGGATGCATAATTTACCTCAAAAATGTGGTTCACAAGTGAAGTTTCGGTTGAAATGCTCTGAACTAGTGCTTTATAGGGGGTAAACAAACTGGATAAATACTAAGATTATATCACATCATTTTGTATCCTTAAACCAAGGATAGAAATTACTATCACACCAGAAAATGAAATCATCATGCTCTATACTATAAATTATCTAGCTATAAAACCCTTCTGTTTTCAAGACACTTCTCATGTTATGCCCTAAGTATGATTATTAGGAAAGAAAAAATTACATAAAATTCTTGTGCCACTGTAAGGGAATAGAGTGCAAATGAAGAATTTGTGCATCTTGAAATGTAGGAAGACATTCTCAACAGCAAAGCAAGAGGCATATTTGAATAAGTTAGTGGGGTACCTGGGTGGCTCAGTTGGTTAAGCATCTGACTTGGCTTAAGTCATGATCTTGCAGTTCGTGAGTTCAAGCCCTGCTTTGGGCTCTGTGCTGACAACTCAGAGCCTGGAGTCTGCTTCAGAATCAGTGACTCCCTTTCTGTCTGCCCCTACTCCACTCAAGCTCTGTCTCTCTCTGTCTCTCAGTAAATAAATGTTTAAAAAAAAATAAGCTAGTCACCATAACCTGATCTATTAATTTATGTGATTTATTCATTCATTCCTAAATATTCTATTTTTCTTAATGTTTATTTATTTTTGAGAGTGAGAGAGCACAAGCAGAGGAATGGCAGAAAGAGAGAGAAAAAAAAATGGAATCTGAAGTTTCCAAGCATTAAGCTGCCAGTGCAGAGCCTAACACTGGGCTTAAACCCACAGACGGTGAGATCATGACCTAAGCTGAAGTCTGATGGTTAACTGAGGAGCCATCCAGGCACTCCCTCCGTAACTATTCTATTTAAAGTTATAATCCCTACCCCCTTTATTTGGAACTCCCTCTTCCTTGCTAGTTTTTTCTCCATAGCACTCACCATTATCTTTCTTCTTTCACTAGAATGTTAAGTTCCAAATGGCAAGGATTTTGTTGTTGTTTTTTCCTATAGTGTTAACTGCTATATTGCAGAGCTTTAAAGTTCCTGGCAATATATATTTTGAATGAATTTATTCAATAATTTTGAAGTCATAAAATGAAAACTAATAAGGCATTATAAAGATTTAATTATCTTAAATCTTCATCTGAATCATACATTTTGTTTCACTTTTAAATAATAGCTGAAACAAATCATAGGGAGCACAAATAATTCAGAACAATGAAGAAAAAAACCAGCATATGATATACCTTTAACCAATGTAGTCCCCAAAAAGAAAAAAATAAAGGAGCCAATGATGACCCAATATTTTTACTTATTGAATTTTAATTTAGATGTTGGATTGAGGGGAGAATAGCTTCTTTGAATTACATTAAGAAGTTGCAGTAACTCATTGAATTCTATTTTATTTTTGTAAACTGGCATAAAGTTATAGTACACATTTCTATAAAAATATAAGTGAGAGTGGTTTACAAACTTGTCTCAAAAATATTTCTCTTCTGCAATTAATTAGAATAATAGTGACATCTTATCTCTAGTTTTTAGTACTGAGAGTACCTTCCGCATGATAGTAATTGACTGTCAAAGGATCTAGATCAGATCTTTCTTCCTAGATCAAGTTGTAATCATATATATTTAAACTAAAATAAGATAAACGTTTGGTAGCAAATTTTCCTCTCACTGTAATATTGTGTATTAAAATTTTATACCAGTTTAGTTAAATGAAAAAAGGAAATGACTTGCCTTTCATTTTTTAAAAACATGAATGTTGATACATAAAGCAAAATAGAACAGTATCTGGCAAATGGTAGGCATTTGATGTACACTAATGAAATTGCATGCTTTTGCTTAAAATAACATAAATGTTTAATCTTAGTATCTAAGAAATATTATTTCTCCTTTTATACTTAATATGCTTTATCAGAAGCTTAGAATTTTGGCACTCATAGGTAAGCAACATTTTAGATAACTACATTTAAATCTACGTTTTTCTCAGGAAACACACCAAAATCATTGGTCTTCATTATTAATAACTACTAATATTATAGAATAAACACGTGTTAGTATTTTTATCAGTTTACACACCAGGAAATGTAGGCTATAAATATATTGATATTGTACCTTCTAATGGAATATTAATGCATGAATGAATACACTGATGTAGAGGCAAGGACAGTGTGACAGATATAAGATATACTAGATCCATTATTTGTCATGAGTTCTTTCATAGCAGAACTATTGGATTCATACTGATCTTTCTTCAGCATATTTCTGGTCCCTTCTTGACTGTTATTAATATTTATAATACGTCTAACCAGGTAGGGGGATGAAAACCCATGACTATATAATAGTGATATGTATTACTATTCTGCATAAGAATTAAACCTAAAACCTATATTTGATTACAAAGAGTCTAACTCAAAATTTTTCGTACTCCTATTTCATGAAGCTCTAGGGTAAGTGAAATAGACTGAGTCTTCAATCGTTTTTTTTCCCCATAATCTATTTATATGAGACTAATCTCTCTAAATCAAATTCTTTGATTCAGCCTCCTAATTACTTTTTCATCCTCACCACACTGTTTTTGCTAACAGTTCTATTTTGGCTGCCAGTTATAGCATATCAGAAATTGAATAATGTATTGCCACCTATAAGCAGAAAATTAATTGTACTTGTTTATGACACAGCAAAGCATAATCTTAAAAAAAAAAGTTCTTTTGTCCAACGTCTGTAACCACCATTTTCATACTTACTACCTACATATTTCCATATTTGTTATTGATGTTGTCATTCATAATGCCTGTGCCTTAAATGAAGTATGTACTTAATACTTTTATCTTTTTGTCATACTATTATTTGCCTCTTAGATATCATTGAAAGATACCATCTTCTTAAAATCCTATGATTTCGGAAAGTTTAAATAACTTAGTTATAGTAAACTAACTGTTGTTTCTTTGTTTACCTCTAGAGTGGGGGAAATTACCAATATTTATTCCTGGGAATGAAAAACCTTCCCTTCCGACAAGCTAGTACCGTTAGTCTTTGGTTTTGTGCCTTCGCTGTAATGATATAGGTTTGTTTCTCCTTTATTCTTTGCAGAGTGCTGCAGCAGCTCCCAGCCCAGTGCTAGGAAACATTCCCCCAGGAGATGGCATGCCAGTAGGTCCTGTGCCACCAGGGTTCTTTCAGGTACTCAGAACGCCTCTGATGGGGATGTTAAGGCATAGGAACTCCTGTTTGTTTTTATTTAAACATATGAAGGAGAATGAGGCTATTTCGATTCTTAAGGTAAACAGAATGTGTGTAGCCAACTCTGATTATTCAGAGAATGGTTATCTAGTGTATAGATTAGCCCTTTCTTCCTGTGTTTTATTTGTTGTCAAATTTTTATTCACTTATTTATTTTGACATTTCCTTGTTCAAGTAAAAAAGACAGGGAGTTTGGAAATGCAAACTGGCCCCTTAAGTTAACTGTGATAAAGATGTGACGGGAGAAGAGGCTAAAGATGAAGTTCTAGAATCATATATAGATTTTAAACTGCTCCAGCCATCCGGACCTCCGCAGACCAAAGATAATCAAGATTTGGCTGTAGTTTCAAAATATGGCTAAATCATAACCTTTTCATTTATCAGAATTACAGGGTATATCAAGGTATTTTGATAATTATCTTTTTGGCTTTTAAGCTAGAATTGTTAACTAATACTATTATTGACATTTCAAAATCAGATTTTAAATACAAATGTTAGTATTTTAAAATTTCAACAACACTATTCATTTTAGCAATGATGATAATGATTTTAAAATTTTAATACATCACTTTTAAATTTATTTTATTTCCATTTAATTCTAACAGTTTTCTAACACAAACCAGTACAGATTCTGAGGTTTTTTTTTTTTTTTCTACGTACTTAATTTTATAACATCCTTTGAGAAAATTAGCAAGAACTTAGGAATTAAGAACTAGAGTTGGAAGGCATTATGAGAATGAATGTAATATGCTATATTGTTAATGAATTACATTAGGTACTTACAAACTAATTTCTCACTTTAGTGCTTTTATATTTTCAAAGTCCTTGATAGTCATTTGTTAGTTAATCCATACCATCATTACATTTCTTATAATCTAGGAACATATTATAACTTTTGATTATTAAGTAAACAATCTCCATTTAGGATGATAATACTGGCTAACACTTATTAACCACTTACTATACATTAAGCTTTGTTTTAAATGTTTTACATATGTAAACTCAATTCTCACAGTAACCTTAGGAATGAAGTATGTATTATTACTGTTCACATTGCATAGATGGAAAAATCAAGTCTTGATAGATAAGTTGCTTGCACAAAGTAAGAAAGTGACAGGGTTGGGATTCAAATCAAGGCTTTCTGGACTTCTGCCATAGAATTTACCTTTTAAAGTTCGTAATTGATCATTATTCATCAAATATTTTTAGCTCATTTAATTTTTTTTTCCTCATGTTCTCTTTCTCTTATCAAGGATGAATTAGAGTTAGGGAATAAATCAGAAGAGTTTATTTACATATAAAAGTTAGTAGTAGCTCTCTAAATGGCACTTTTAAAAAGAGGGTTGGGTTGAGAAGAAAGCCAGATACTTCCAGGGTAAAACCAAGATGTATAAACCCAGACATTTTCACATTTTGTTAAATTAACCATTTTCCTCTTGCATGTCTTCTGCCTGATTCTTGGTAAGAATAGTTGAAACACAGTTAACTTTGTATTAATTATTCCAGTGTGATACATACCTAAGAACTACTACTACTACTACATGCCAGGCACTGTGGTAAGCATCTAAAAATGAGTATGGTAATATGTACCTTCCCAAAGTCCACTATCTATCCAGAGGCATTATTAAAAATAAATAACTGTAATATACCAAGGTATATACTGTAACAGAGTCAAGTGTGTAAGGTTCTGTGATGACCTAGGAGAAGAGCTGTTAAATCTGCCTGAATTGAAGCTGGGAGTGCTTTACAAAAAGTTTTCCAGGGGGGGGAAAAAACAGAGGAAGGATATTCCAGAAAGTGGAAATAATATAAACAAAAGTATAGAGGTCCTCAAAAAAGCATATATTGTGGTTAAGGAGAGAGAGAGACAAGGCAAGAGTATAGAAAAAAAATGGCTGTAATAAATGAGTGGAGTGTACTCTTAGAGCAAATCAGAAGACCACCAAACCCAATCTTGGGAGGGTCATTGTCAGAAAAGTATTCTCAAATTAGTCAATGAAATCCAAACTGGCATCTAAGGATGAGTTAGGCAAGGAGGCAAGAAGAGTGGGAAGGAGTGTTCCAGGAAGTAGAAAAAGAGTTGTCAAAGGGCCAGAAGGGAAAAGAGAGAAACTAAATATTTAAAAAACAAAACAAAACAATGGAGCCTAATTAGCTAAAGGGCAAGTGGCTGGTGGTGAGGCTCCAGAGGAACCTAGAGGAGATTATAGGTCAGGTAAGAATTTGAACATGATTTTAAGGGCAGTAATAAACTATTGAAGGATTTCAAGCAGGAGAGAGGGACGTTAATATTTGTACTTTTAGAAAAATCACTCCCATTGTGTAGCCAGGATTTCAGAGGGACAGATCTGAAGGTAGGAAGACTACTTAGGAGACTGGTACAGTGATCCACGTGAGATTTAATGATGGCCTGAACTAAGAGAGTGGCACTGCGTATGGAGAGAGATGAACGGATTTAAGAGACAAATAAATGCAGTGGATATGAGTAAAATAATCCAAGAATAATACCCTGGTTTCCTTCTCTAACCTGGGCAGATGGGGTTTTCTGAGATAGAGTCCTCAAAACAAGGAGTAGTTTTGAGGTAGGACAGATGACATTCCTGTGGGGCTTCCAGATAGAGGTATCCTTTAGGCCAGTGAACATACACATCGAAGCGTAAGGTAGTGATCCAGGCTAGAGATAAATATTGCAGGTTTACCATCATATTAAGGACACTTGAGTCCACAGGGGTAGATTAATTATCCAGCAAGAAAGTGCAGAATGAGAGAGTAAGAGAGTATGCAACTGAAATCCCAGAACACTAACACTTAAAAGATAAAGACAACAGAATTCATTTAAGAGAATGGATGCAGATACCAGTCGGTTGACTAGTACGGTAGCCCAGGGAAGAGATATTGTAGACCTATCAAAGTGTAGTGGCAATAGATTTGAAAAGAAGAAGCAATTCATAGTTCTATTTGATAGGCTTTAGTTGATTAACAAAATTAGGGTTAGGAAAAAAAAGAGTTGGCAGATTCAAGGATCATTCTGAGGTTCCTACTTTAGATCTCTGGCAAGTTTCAATATCTTTATCTGAGTTAGGAAAGGTAGAAGGTAGAAAAAGCTAGATATGTTTGAGTTTCGTACATGTCATTTCTCTTCATCCAGGGAGATGATTCTAGCTAATCCCAAATACTCTTTTTCCCCATTCAACAGGCTTAATGTCCAGTCTCCCTAGGAATACCTCTTTGAAATCCTGAAACTCAAACTGTCAAATTTTTAAAAAAGAAATAGGATGTTATTATCTTTTGGTTCATATAATGATGGGGTTAGTCTACCCAAGTGTTTCCTAAATATCAGCCTTGGTTTCCTACAGTGATTTGTCAATACTTCAGTGTGATTCTGGCCATAATGCCTGCTGTTAATGAAGAGTACTGCCTCATGTGAATAGAAATAGCAGCAGAGAACCACAATTCAAGCTGAAATACCAGTTTCTAATTCAATTCCAAAGAGACATTCAACTCCAAGAATTATCCAGATTATGAGAATAGTTTTGAATCCTCATTCTTACTGAGGAAATGCAAAGCTTATTTGGAGTCAGCTGGAAAGAGACTCGGTTAAGAAAGGATTCAGCCTATTAGAATGTAATTTTAAAAATGAAACTAAGGAAAGAAGAGGTTGTCATTAGCACATAAAGCACCTGATTCAATAGATTTGACTTCTATTCGTTTTATGATATTGTAAAATTTAGATTAGTGTTCATTTGTGACAGATATTAAGATTGTTTATACTTCAATTCTGATACTTTTATTTAAATGGGAGAGCTTCTTTTATTGTGTAGGAGGCCAATTAAGAAAAATATAACTGGAATAATATATCATGCATAAGGAGGTATCAATTTAGTAAAATACAGCCATTTAAAGTAAGATACATGTTTATTAGAGGTTTCTTTCTGAGGATTAATTGGTATACACAGCCCTATAAATTTTCAAAGTGACTTGCGATGGAACTGGTGAGTGACTTTAGAGCAGCTTTCTTTTATTATTATTATTAAAAAAATTTTTAATGTTTATTTATTTTTGAGAGAGAGAGAGAAAGAGCACAAGCAGGAGAGGGGCAGAGAGAGAGGAAGACACAGAACCCAAATCAGGCTCCAGGCTCTGCGCTGTCAGCACAGAGGCCAACGTGGAGCTCAAACCCACCAACTATGAGATCACGACCTGAGCCAAAGTCATTGATGCTTAACCAACTGAGCCACCCAGGCGCCGGTAGAACAGCTTTCTTAAATTGGGAAGTCTTGCTGTTGGGTCAGAGGGAAGACCATAGAAGCGACCATTGATCTAACTAGAATTTGGCAGTTTTCATGGAAGAAAACCTGTTATTGTGATGGTAGGTACGCATAGTCAACATTCAGAATGAGTCTATACTTTGAGTCTCCTATCCTTGTACTAGAATCTTACTCAAAGTTTTCATTGTATGCTAAGAAATATTAATTGTGTATTGACAGCATCAATCTGCTATTCATTCATTTTCGTAGCATTCTTATGAAAAGACAGGCAAAGTTTGATTCCTGCAATTTATTGAATAAAATAAGTACTGTTCCTTGAACCAATTAAATTTTCTTCTCGCTTAAATATAACAATCAAAATGGTTTAGTAAAATGCGTAAAACAAAACAAAGTTCTTGTTCTTTTGTGTTTAAAATAATTAGACTCTTTGTCACCTTATGAAGTTCTGTAATTTTATAGATTTGAGCAACAAGAAAGCTTCTCTTGTGAATCTATTATAACTTTTGTCCCATTTTGAAGATAGGGGCATTTTAAATTTCAACCAAGAAAATTTGAGGTGGGGGGTGAAAATTCTTTATTTTTCCCTCCTTTTTGGTCTTTACCACAAGAAGACTTTTAAGTAGGAAACTATATCTTGTTTTTTTGTCAGTATAACTAAACTTACCTTTATCG